TTCTGAGCCGGGGGAGTGGGGTGGTGGGGGAGTGGGGGAGTGGGGGGAGTGGCGCACACCTTTAATCCCAGCACTTGGGAGGCAGAGCCAGGCGGATCCCTATGAGTTCGAGGCCAGCCTGGTCTACAGAGCGAGATCCAGGACAGGCACCAAAGCTACACAGAGAAACCCTCTCAAGAAAACAAAAACAAGTTCTCTTCTGTAGATAGCTCCAGAACTTCTAAAAGCAACAAGGCAGCCTAGAAGAAATACCTACATGTACCTTTTAAACTAACTTGAAGTGTGCAAATCTACTGGCAATTACCTTACTTTTTTGAAATGTGACTACTGTGGCTTCCTATCTTCTGCATTCCATGCTGTGGATTATTTACTAGCCAAGAGTTTTCTTTTCAAAAGCCCGTATCATTAATTGGCCTACACTATTACCTATCTTTTTATAGTGAGTTTGACCCATACTGACACTCAAAAAACATGGAACAACTAGTCAAGCATGAAATTTCTCTTAGCAGGGCATAATGTGGCTAAACGTAACCAGTTTGTTTTCAGTTAAAATCAGATTCCAAAAACCAGGCATGGTGCAATGTCTATAATCACAGCACTGAGAGGCCAAGGCAGGAGGATGGCTACAAGTCCGGGCCAGCCTGTCCTTGAGATCCTGTCTCAAAAAAAACCCTGCATCCTTGTTACTACGTAAACTACAAAAGCGGTAAAAAGCAACCACAAAAAGGATCGCCATAGGTATCCGTTACACACTGTGCTCAGCCTGTTCAACCAGTGCTCACACTTTAAAATAGTCACTCTGTCCTATGCATACCACACAGGCAATAACAGCAGCAGTGCCTCATCATGAATCAGTGGCTCAGTCCTCTGTTGTTCTCTGTTCAGTTTAAACACAAGGTAGTGATACACGTGTCTTGCCCAAATCCCTATGCTCAGTGTTTCACTAGGACGGCAATGGCCAGACACCGATTCAATGACTTCATCCCAGGGTACCCAAGGTTCAAAATAATCATTGAGCAACTCGCCTCTACCTTATAAAAACATAAAACAGAAAATCTTCACTATCACTGGGAATTGAATCCAAGGCCTCAAACACACTAGGAAAATGCTCTACCAATAACCCATATCCCTTATTTGTTTTAATGTAAATGAGTGTTTCCTTGCATGTATGTATGTGTACTGTGTGTATGCCTGGTGCCTGGGGAGGCCAGAAGAGGGCATGTGATTCCCTGAAAAGGAGTTATGGGTGCTTGTTTGTTGCCATGTGGGTGCTGGGAACTGAACCTAGGTCCTTTTCACGAGCAGTAAGTGCTCTGAACCCCACAAGCCATCTTTCTAGACCCAAGCCCCGCCATTTAATTTCTATTAATGAACAGGAACCAAGTTCTTCAAAGCAGTACCTTCTCACTTTTCTCAAATGGCTGGGGGGCACTGGAGGTGACTAGTGTAACCTCAGCTGTTTACCTTCTCCTTTACTAATTGCTCTAAATTCCTCTCAAGTCATCTGCTTCAAAACCAACATCATTAAAATTACAGATTACTACATAACCCCAGACCTAATGATCCAAGCCTTCAGGATAGAAGCCAAAGTCTACATTGAAAAAATGAAACAAAACCCCCAAGCTTCCCAGGTGAACTCTATCCTAAATATTATGCGAAGCACCTTTCCAGTGCCATAATTCCGGCTGCCTGATATTTTGAGAAACTGTGATGTCACTAAACGATTAGGTGAGCTAAGATTCAAGAATGGCTATGAAGAAAAAGGCTGTGAGCACACTTGGGGGGTGGGGCACATCTGTAAACGAAAGGTTTGGTCCAGACAGTATTTAAGATCCACTCCAGCTCTGGAATTCTCCATCTGTTTCCCTTTCGTCTCCTCATCTTGACAGGCAGGAATGCAA